TTATGGACCTTGCTTTGTGCACTGGTGTGCAGTCATGTTGGACCAGGAAGGGGCCATCCCCAAACTCTTCCCACAAAGTTGGGAGCATGAAATTGTCCAAAATGTCTTGGTATGCTGACGCCTTAAGAGTTCCCTTCACTGGAACTAGGGGGCCAAGCCTGACCCCTGAAAAACAACTCCACACCATAATCCCCCCTCCACCAAACTTTACACTTGGCACAATGCAGTCAGGCAAGTACTGTTCTCCTGGCAACTGCCAAACCCAGACACGTCCATTGGATTGCCAGACAGAGAAGCATGATTGGTCACTCCAGAGAGCACGACTCCCCTGCACTAGAGTCCAGTGGCGGCGTGCTTTACACCACGGCATCCAACGCTTTGCATTGCACTTGGTGATGGAAGGCTTGGATGCAGCTGCTCAGCCATTGAAACCCATTCCATGAAGCTCTCTATGCACTGTTGTTGTGCTCATCTGAAGGCCACACCAAGTTTGGAGGTCTTTAGCTATTGACTCTGCAGACAGTTGGCGACTTCTGCGCACTGTGTGCTTCAGCATGCGCTGACCCCGCTCTGTCATGTGACGTGTCCTACCACTTGGTGGCTGAGTTGCTGTTGTTCCCAGTTGCTTCCACTTTGTTATAATCCCACTAACAGTTGAGTGTGGAATATTTAGTAGCCAGGAAATGTCACGGATGGACTTATTGCACAGGTGACCACCTATCACGGGACCACACTTGGAGTCACTGAGCTCCTGAGAGCGACCCATTCTTTCACCAATGTTTGTAGAAGCAGTCTGCATGCCTAGGGGCTTGATTGTATACACCTGTATACATATATCTATATATATATGGCCTCTGGACTGGAAGCAGTTAATACAGACTCTCACATTCGGCGTATTTAAGTATCTGTAAATAAATGTGGATGGTGGAAGTGTAGGAAGGTAAGTTGTCAGGGTATGGCCAGATGTACGAAAGGTTTGTGTTAGGGGGTGTGGTGTCAGGGAGGGTGGATGAAGCAGTGGACAGGGGTTCAGCAGCGTGGAGGATAGGGGTCACTAGGGCAGAGGACAGGGGTCAGCGATTTCCCCCTATGCAGAGCAGGGAACACAATCAGACGGTGACACATTTCTGCTCCCTCTTCTGGTGCGTTGACCAGCCCTCCTCTCGCATCCTTCCCATATGACATCACCTACAAAGACACTTCTGGATATAAGAGGGGACTCTTCATGAAAACTGATCTTTTTTTTTTTTTTTTCAACCTGCAAATATTTGATTTACTGAAACGTTTGGAGACCCCTTCCTAAAGTGATCAGGAGGAAATGTTTTTTTTTTTGTATTTCTTCATTTATTTTTCTATTGGTTGAACTCTATGTAATACGTCTGTATACTCCACTGCCAATAAGTGAGATCTCCACCTTGTGGATAATATATAAATTGCGGTTTGTGTTGTTTTTCAATACTTTGCTGCTTCTTGATGCATTCTTCAGTTTTGTTGGTTATTTTACACCGGTATTAAAACTAAAAAATGATTAATTGCAAGTGATTTTAAAGGCTTACTTTTTCTTTTTTTTCATTAAAATATTTAACACATCATACTTACCTGCTCTGTGCAATGGTTTTGCACAGAGCAGCCCCGAGCTTCTTCTTCTTGGATCCTCTGCTGGCACTTCTAGCCCCTCCCCCCTTCCTTAGTGCCCCCAGAGCAATCAGCTTGCTCTGGGGCTACTCGTGCATGCTTGCTCATGAGCAGTCACTATGTGTCTATGGGACACAGAGAGCGTGGCTCAGTCCCACCCCACGCTCCTTCCTCGTAACTGACAGACAATGTGCACATTTAGACAACCTGGGTGGGTGGGAACCCCCTCACAATGGGTATAACACGTGTTTATACCAGGAACTCAGAGAAGGGATGGTGAGATCTCCTTATAATGGGTAGACCAGTTGTACAGACTCAGAAAATCAACACAGGCATGGTGGGAGATTCTCATAATGGGCTAATGGGCACAGCAGGTGTACACATCCAGAAACCCAGTGCAGGAATTGCAGGAACCCCTCATAATGGGCACAGCAGGTGTACAGACCTGGGAACTCAGCACAGGGATGGTGGGAACCCCTCATAATGGGCACAGCAGGTGTACAGACCCAGGGCCTCAGCACAGGGATGGTGGGAACCCTCCTTATAATGGGCACAGCAGGTGTACAGACCCAGGAACTCAGCACAGGGATGGTGGGAACCCCTCATAATGGGCTAATGGGCACAGCAGGTGTACACATCCAGAAACCCAGTGCAGGAATTGCAGGAACCCCTCATAATAGGCACAGCGGGTAAACAGACCCAGGAACTTGGCACAGGGATGGTGGGAACTCCTCATAATGGGCACAGCAGGTGAACAGACCCGGGAACTCAGCACAGGGATGGTAGGAACCACTCATAATAGGCACAGTGGGTGAACAGACCACGGGACCTCAGCACAGGGATGGCGGGAACCCCTAATAATGGGCACAGCAGGTGTACAGACCCGGGAACTCAGCACAGGGATGGGGGGAACCCCTCATAATGGGCACAGCGGGTTACAGACCCGGGAACTCAGCACAGGGATGGTAGGAACATCTCATAATGGGCACAGCGGGTGAACATACCCAAGAACTCAGCACAGGGATGGTGGGAACCCCTCATAATGGGCACAGCAGGTGTACAGACCCGGGAACTCAGCACAGGGATGGGGGGAACCCCTCATAATGGGCACAGCGGGTGTACACAGCCCCGAAATCAGGGATCTTGGGAGTATCTCATAGCGGGCACAGCAGGTGCTGGTTTTATTACCAATCATCAGAATTATGGTGATTAAAAAGCAAACAGAAAAAATCCCACTTAGAACAGAGCACTGTAACACGTCGAGTTTTCTTCTGTATTTTACAAGATCAGAATAAACGATTAACAAACAATAATATCTAAGCTGCAATCTAAATCCAATCTTATATAACTGAAGAAACAAAATCATACCGAGAGCAATCATGTACACAAGCCATTATCAACCACAAATCAGTGGTGCCCGTGTGCTGCCATATTCACCTGTGTATTCCCACCATTGAGATCTATGGTGTGGTCTGTGTGCGTGTCAGACCAAGTCACACTGTTTGTGTAGGAGAGTGTATTACTATACTTTTATCGCTGCACAGGCCTGGAACTTTGAAACCCTGAGGATTGTGTGAATTCCCTGGAGTGCAATACATTTATTTACGTAACCAAAACATTTCCTGCACTTTTCCCCTTCCTCCCCCCACTGTTGAATCTACTTCCATGAACTCAGTGAGCCCTAACCTCTACTTGGAAACTGCTTGTGATACAGTGCCTTGAAAAAGTCTTCCTTCCACTTGAAGAAGTCTTCCTCCCCCTTGTAGGAAAGTCTTCCTCCCCCTTGTAGGAAAGTCTTCCTCCCCCTTGTAGGAAAGTCTTCCTCCCCTTGTAGGAAAGTCTTCCTCCCCCTTGTAGTCTTCCTCCCCCTTGTAGGAAAGTCTTCCTCCCCCTTGTAGGAAAGTCTTCCTCCCCCTCTTCCTCCCCTTGAAGAAGTCTTCCTCCCCCTTGAAGAAGTCTTTCTCCCCCTTGAAGAAGTCTTTCTCCCCTTTGGAGAAGTCTTCCTCCCCCTTGTAGGAAAGTCTTCCTCCCCCTTGAAGAAGTCTCCCTCCCCCTTGAAGAAGTCTTCCTCCCCTTTGAAGAAGTCTTCCTCCCCTTTGAAGAAGTCTTCCTCCCCTTTGAAGAAGTCTTCCTCCCCTTGGAGAAGTCTTCCTCCCCCTTGAAGAAGTCTCCCTTCCCCTTGGAGAAGTCTTCCTCCCCCTTGGAGAAGTCTTCCTCCCCCCTCCCCCTTGGAGAAGTCTTCCCCCCCCTTGGAGAAGTCTCCCTCCCCCTTGGAGAAGTCTCCCTTCCCCTTCCCTTGGAGAAGTCTATTTATTTATTGGGATTGGATGTGATAGACCAACAGAAAGTGGCACATAATTGTGAAGTGGAAGGAAAATGAGAAATGGTTTTCCCAATTTTTTACAAATAAATAACTGAAAAGTGTGGTGTGCATTTGTATTCAGCCTCCTTTACTCTGATACCCCTAACTAAAATCTAGTGGAACCAATTGCCTTCAGAAGTCACCTAATTAGTCCACATGTGTCATTTAACAGCTATAAAAAAAAACCGACACTTTTGAGAAAAAAAAAACAATATTTTGGACTTTTTGGTATTAAACATGTCCAGTAAAAAAGTAAAAAAAAATCAAATTTCGTCATAAATTTCGGCCAAAATGTATTCTGCTCCATGTCTTTGCTAGAAAAAATCCCAATAAGTGTAAATGAATCGGTTTACGTGAAAGTTATAGCATCTACAAATGGCGGTATAGACACTGGGATTTAAAAAATATTTTTTTTTACTAGTAATGGCGGCAATCAGTAAATTATAGCAGAACCGCAACGGACATTCTGACACTGGGGGAGACTGATTTGGTGTCACTGACATCCCCAGTGACACCAATACACTGATCAGTGCTAATAGAAAGCACTGACGCTGTACTAATGGCACTGGGCAGGAAGGGGTTAACATGAGGGGCTCTCAGTGGCGTCCCGAGGCAGGTGCGGGGAGTGCGGTCCGCACCGGGTGAATGCGGGGTCCGGGGAGAGCGGATATAGTGATGCGGGGTCCGGGGAGAGCGGATATAGTGAATGCAGGGGTCCGGGCTGGGGGGAGTGGATATAGTGAATGCGGGGTCCGGGGGAGAGCAGATATAGTGAATGCAGGGTCCGGGCTGGGGGGAGTGGATATAGTGAATGCGGGGTCCGGGCTGGGGGGAGCGGATATAATGAATGCGGGGTCCGGGGAGAGCGGATATAGTAAATGCAGGGTCCGGGCTGGGGGGAGTGGATATAGTGAATGCGGGGTCGGGGAGAGCGGATATAGTGAATGCAGGGTCCGGGCTGGGGGGAGTGGATATAGTGAATGCGGGGTCCGGGCTGGGGGGAGCGGATATAGTGAATGCGGGGTCCGGGGAGAGCGGATATAGTGAATGCGGGGTCCGGGGAGAGCGGATATAGTGAATGCAGGGTCCGGGCTGGGGGGAGTGGATATAGTGAATGCGGGGTCCGGGGAGAGCAGATATAGTGAATGCAGGGTCCGGGCTGGGGGGAGTGGATATAGAATGCGGGGTCCGGGCTGGGGGGAGCGGATATAATGAATGCGGGGTCCGGGGAGAGCGGATATAGTAAATGCAGGGTCCGGGCTGGGGGGGAGTGGATATAGTGAATGCGGGGTCCGGGGAGAGCGGATATAGTGAATGCAGGGTCCGGGGGGGGGGAGTGGATATAGTGAATGCGGGGTCCGGGCTGGGGGGAGCGGATATAGTGAATGCGGGGTCCGGGGGAGAGCGGATATAGTGAATGCAGGGTCCGGGGAGACCGGATATAGTGAATGCAGGGTCTGGGGAGACCGGATTTAGTGAATGCGGGGTCCGGGGAGAGCGGATATAGTGAATGCAGGGTCCGGGGAGAGCGGATATAGTGAATGCGGGGTCCGGGGAGAGCAGATATAGTGAATGCGGGGTCCGGGGAGAGCAGATATAGTGAATGCGGGGTCCGGGGAGAGCAGATATAGTGAATACGGGGTCCGGGGAGAGCGGATATAGTGAATGCTGGGTCCGGGAGAGCGGATATAGTGAATGCGGGGTCCGGGGAGAGCGGATATAGTGAATGCGGGGTCCGGGGAGAGCGGATATAGTGAATGCGGGGTCCGGGGAGAGCGGATATAGTGAATGCGGGGTCCGGGGAGACCGGACATAGCGAATGCAGGGTCCGGGAAGAGTGGATATAGTGAATGCAGGGTCCGGGGTTTAGTAAGGGTTACAAATTTAAGAGAGTTTTTCTTCACAGTGAAACCTTTCCCGCACTCTGAACATGGATAGGAATGCTCACCTGGGTGTAAGATGTACTTTTCCTACACACTGATAAAGTTGTGACTTCTCTGGTGTGTAAGAAGGTTTCCTTTTTGAATAAAACATTTCCCACACTCTGAACATGAATAGGAACGCTCACCTGTGTGATATTTCTGGTGCGTAAGCAGGTTTGTTTTCTGAATGAAAGATTTTCCACACTCTGAACATGAATAGGGACGCTCCCCTGTATGACTTCTCTGGTGTGTAAGAAGTGCGTTTTTTTTGAGTGAAACCTTTCCCGCACTCTGAACATGAAAAGGGACGTTCACCTGTGTGAATTCTCTGATGTGCAAGAAGGTTTCCTTTGTGATTGAAATATTTCCCACATTCTGAGCATGAATAGAGATGCTCCCCTCTGTGAGTTCTCTGGTGTCTAAGAAGGTCTCCTTCCTGAATGAAACATTTCCCACACTCTGAACATGGATAGGGACGCTCACCCTTGTGAACTCTCAGGTGTCTAAGAAGGTTTCCTTTTTGAATGAAACATTTCCCACATTCTGAACATGGATAGGGAAGCTCACCTGTGTGAATTCTCTGGTGTTTAATAAGGCTTCCTTTCTCAGTGAAACATTTCCCACACTCTGAACATGAATAGGGACGCTCTCCTGTGTGAATCCTCTGATGTGTAAGCAGTACTTTTTTCTCAGTAAAACATTTCCCGCACTCTAAACATGGATAGGGAAGCTCACCCGTGTGAGTTCTCTGATGTTTAACAAGGCCTCCTTTCTCAGTAAAACATTTCCCGCACTCTGGACACGAATAGGGGCGCTCGCCTGTGTGAATTCTCTGATGTTTGAGAAGGCTTCCTTTCTCAGTCAAACATTTCCCGCACTCTGAACAAGAATAGGAACGCTGACCTGTGTGAATTTTCTCATGTCTAAGGAGAGCTCTGTTTTCTGTGAAGGATTTCCCGCACACTGAACATGATAGTGAATGCTCTTCTGTGTTTTCACCTTCGTGGCTTAAAGAAAATTTGTTTGGAAAAGATGGATTTATTGAAGTGTCTGTACTGTGAGATCTCAGGGTCCTGGTACGGGTTTTATCAGACGAGTCTTTGGGATAAGAGGGATCCATTGCTCTCTGAGTGACGGAATTTCCTCGGGAAGGATATTGTGAAATGTCATGACACCCTGGAGATAAGAGACGAGGCTCCTTGGGGGTGGGCTGGACGTCGTGTCTACCTGTGGAAAAGCAATTGTAAAATAAATGTTAAATTTTTCAAACATTGCATTTGGGAGTCATACAGCAGATGTTGGTCTAGGACAGGGGTCTCCAAACTGCGGCCCAGGGGCCAGATGTGGCCCTTTGCTTGCCTTTATCTGGCCCTCGGGGCACTTCTCCCACTAATACAAAAAACACTATTCCTTTCCTCCCTCCCAGGCACTAGTAGGTGGTACTGATAGGCGGCACTGATGCACACTGATAGGTGGCACTGATTGGCAGCACTGATAGGTGGCACTGACTGGCATTGATAGGTGGTACTGACTGGCACTGATAGGTGGTACTGATTGGCAGCACTGATAGGTGGCACTGACTGGCATTGATAGGTGGTACTGACTGGCACTGATAGGTGGTACTGATTGGCAGCACTGATAGGTGGCACTGACTGGCATTGATAGGTGGTACTGACTGGCATTGATAGGTGACACTGACTGGCACTGATAGGTGGCACTGACTGGCATTGATAGGTGACACTGACTGGCACTGATAGGTGGTACTGACTGGCACTGATAGGTGACACTGAAAGGCAGCTCAGCTGGGCACTGATATGTGGCTTTGATGTTCACTGGTAGGCACTGATATTTGGCATTGATGTGGCACTGATAAACACTGACAGCTGGCATTGATGGACACTGACAGGTGGCACTGCTGGGGCTACACTGATGATCAGTGTACATGTCCCCTCCGAGGAATACTGATTACCAGCTCTTCTCTGTCAGCGTGACAGCTTCTGGGGAGAGAAATGCCGATAACTGGCATTTCCCTACTTACAGTTGTGTCCAAAATTATTCAACCCCCAATGCTGTAAAGGGGTTTAGGGACTATAGTGTACATTTGGAATTGTATTCAGAATCAAATCCTACAAGGACGTTGTAACTACCCAAATGCAACTAAAATGACATCAATTGTTTATGTAATACAGTAGTAAATGGTTCTTATGTGGTTTCTTCATTGCCACAATTATTCAACCCCTTAAAGACTACCACTCTGAAGAACAGAGGTTCATACAGGTGCTTTCCATCAGGTATTGAAAACACCTGTGGATGTCACCGAGCAGCAATCAAGCATAATAAGCACCAATTAGGCAGCTTTAAAATGACTGTGATACTCAGCTCCTTCTAGACATTTACTGGTGTGGTTACAAACATGGTGAAGGCAAGAGAATGGTCCAGGAAGACAAGAGAAGAGGTGATTTCTCTTCACAGGAGGGCAATGGCAGATTGCAAAGATGTTAAACATACCAAGAGACACCTTAGGAAGCATCATTCGCAAATTCAAGGCAAAGGGCACTGTTGAAACGCTACCTGGTCGTGGCAGAAAGAAGATGCTGACTTCGACTGCTGTGCGCTACCTGAAGCGTAGAGTGGAGAGAAGTCCCCGTGTGACTGCTGAGGAACTGAGAAAAGATTTGTCAGATGTGGGTACAGAAGTTTCAGCCCAGACAATAAGACGCACACTGCGTAATGAAGGCCTCCGTGCCAGAACTCCCAGGCGTACCCCCTTGCTGTCTCCAAAGAATAAGAAGAGTCGACTGCAGTATGCCAAAAGCCATGTGGACAAACCACAAAAGTTGTGGGATAGTGTTCTGTGGACTGATGAAACAAAATTAGACTGTTTGGGCCCATGGATCAACGCTATGTTTGGAGGAGGAAGAACAAGGCCTATGATGAAAAGAACACCTTGCCTACTGTGAAGCATGGTGGAGGGTCAATCATGCTTTGGGGCTGTTTTGCTTCTGCAGGTACAGGGAAGCTTCAGCGTGTGCAAGGTACCATGAATTCTCTTCAGTACCAGGAGATATTGGATGGAAACGTGATGCAGTCCGTCACACACCTGAGGCTTGGGAGACGTTGGACCTTTCAACAGGACAATGATCCCAAGCATACCTCCAAGTCCACTAGAGCATGGTTGCAGAGGAAAGGCTGGAACATTTTGGAGTGGCCATCGCAGTCACCAGACTTAAATCCGATTGAGAACCTCTGGTGGGACTTAAAGAAAGCAGTTGCAGTGCGCAAGCCTAAGAATGTGACTGAACTGGAGGCCTTTGCCCATGAAGAATGGGCGAAGATACCCGTAGATCGCTGCAAGACACTTGTGTCAAGCTATGCTTCACGTTTAAAAGCTGTTATAACTGTAAAAGGATGCTGTACTAAGTACTAAGATTGAATGTCACTTGGGGGTTGAATAAAATGATAATGCTGTGAGCACAGAAAAGACATTTGTGGAACTGTTATGTTATATTTGTCTGACCTTGCCTCTTTAATGTAAATGTGTGACTGAATGATCAAAAGCAATGTCAAACTGGCCAAAAACTCAATTTGTGGGGGGAAAATTTTGGACACAACTGTACATGCAATCACCTGTGATTGGACACAGCTGATCACATGACCGAGCCGACATCTTCGGCTCTTTCCGTTGATCGGTGATCCGCTGTGTCCGAGGGACACATCGCACCGCCGATCACCGCACTGCGCACTTCCAGACCCACGCACGCGCAGTGAGAATGGGACGACGTCATATGACGACCTCCCAGAACGAGAGAACCGCCTTGCATCCGTCATTACCTTATATGGCGGGCAGGAGGTGGTTAAAGAATGGAGATGGACTTTTCATGTGGTGTACAGTATCCCGTCACCATTTGTAAGGAACTTGAGGTTATCCTGAGGAGTGGAGAGGGACCTTTTGTATCGTGTCCAGTATCTCCTCGTCATTTGTTGGGAACCCAAGGTTATAGTAAAGAACGGAGATGGACCTTTCATATGGTGTACAGTATGTCCTAATTTGTTGGGAACATGACGTTATATTGAGGAATGGAGATGGACCTTTCATATGGTGTCCAGTATCTCCTCCTCATTTGTTGGAAACATGACGTTATATTGAGGAATGGAGATGGACCTTTCATATGGTGTCCAGTATCTCCTCCTCATTTGTTGGGAATCTTTCATGTGGTGTACAGTAGCCCGTCACCATTTGTATGAAACATGAGGCTATCCTGAAGAATGGAGATGGACCTTTCATATGGTGTACAGTATCTCCTCATCATTTGTTGGGAACCCAAGGTTATAGTAAAGAACGGAGATGGACCTTTCATATGGTGTCCAGTATCTCCTCCTCATTTGTTGGGAACATGACGTTCTATTGAGGAATGGAGATGGACTTTTCATTTGGTGTTCAGTATCTCCTCCTCATTTGTTGGGAACATGACGTTATATTGAGGAATGGAGATGGACCTTTCATATGGTGTACAGTATGTCCTAATTTGTTGGGAACATGACGTTATATTGAGGAATGGAGATGGACCTTTCATATGGTGTCCAGTATCTCCTCCTCATTTGTTGGGAACATGACGTTATATTGAAGAATGGAGATGGACCTTTCATATGGTGTCCAGTATCTCCTCCTCATTTGTTGGGAACATGACGTTATATTGAGGAATGGAGATGGACCTTTCATATGGTGTCCAGTATCTCCTCCTCATTTGTTGGGAACATGACGTTCTATTGAGGAATGGAGATGGACTTTTCATTTGGTGTTCAGTATCTCCTCCTCATTTGTTGGGAACATGACGTTATATTGAGGAATGGAGATGGACCTTTCATTTGGTGTTCAGTATCTCCTCGTCATTTGTTGGGAATCTTTCATGTGGTGTACAGTAGCCCGTCACCATTTGTATGAAACATGAGGCTATCCTGAAGAATGGAGATGGACCTTTCGTATGGCGTACTGTATCTCCTCATCATTTGTTGGGTACCCAAGGTTATATTAAAGAATGGAGATGGACCTTTCATATACTGTACAGTAGCCCGTCACCATTTGTATGAAACATGAGGCTATCCTGAGGAATAGAGATGGACCTTTTATATGGTTTACAGTATCTCCTCATCATTTGTTATAAACAAGATGTTTTATTGGGAATTGGGATTATCCTTTTATATTATGTACAGTATTCCCTCATCATGTATTGGGAACACATTTGTTATATTGAGGTAAAGGAAAGGACCTTTCAAACGATGTATATTATCTATATTCCGTTTGTTGTGAAAAACCAACATGATTTCTAAGCATGGAGATGGACCTTTCACATGATGCGTTTTATATGTACCCTGCCTTTTGTGTTTATTACTTACTTGTGCTGCTATAAAGAGAAGATTCCTCCTGTTTACTTCCCATATTCATCTCACTCTCCTCCATAGACTGCTGAGCTCCACTCACAAACATCTCTTCTTCTTCCTCTTTCACCTCAGCTTTCATGTCTCTCTGTCCTTCATCCTAAACCCCAAGGATGACAGAATATATTTGTAAAAAAAGAAGTTACATAGCAGAATGTCATCACATTGATTAGAATTCTTTTTTAGTTCTTGTTGCTGAGCATCTTCTACCTGATTATTGTGAGGGATGGTGTGACCTTCCTGTGTGGAATCCCGGAAATACAGAGGATGGGGACATCTCTCTGGTTTGTTTCTGCTAGAGGATCCACCTGTAAGTAACACACACACACTGACTGAAAACGTGTCTCTATGTGTTTTTTAGAGAATAGGGATCTAGGCGGATCCTCCCTGATGCTTTCTCCTTTGCAATATAAAGCAGATAGGATATATTACTCTCAGATCACACTGGGTAACATGGTTTGTGCATTGATGAAATTGTTAACCACTTGCCCACCGCAAGATTTACCCCCCCGCTTCATGACCAGGCCACTGCGTTATTTTAACTGACAATCGCACGGTCATGCAACGCAGTACCCAAATAAAATTGATGTCATTTTTTTTATTCACAAATAAAGCTTCCTTTTGGTGGTATTGCGTTTTTTATATTTTGCGCCATAAACAAAAAAAACAGACAATTTAAATATA